ATGTTTCATTATTATGACAGAAAATATCTTTCGATCGGTGACAGGCCGAGTAATTCATATGAGAAGCTTGACTGGGAAAATATGAAATGTGAGCTACAAACATCATTTAATGCTGGCAAAATACAGATGTTTTCAAGATGTTCAAGAAGTAAGATGCTTAAATGCTAACTTGTATACTGTGTGGCATCCCCTTTAAACTAAAACGACAAAGTACATTTGAAACAACGAAAGCGTATTTTCTCTAGAAAAAGTAAGGCACATTGACATGACTCAGTTGGTTCTTTTAAATTGTTTCATAGATTTGGAGAAATTAAATAATAGGTTGTACGAGAGGGTGCTGAAAAGATCATGACATAAAAACTAAAGGATTCCTGAAAGGATCTGATGTTTGACCATTTGTTAGAATTTCACAAATTGGGTCGAGTCAAGAACGTTTCAGTAACCGCTCATATTCTTCTTCTTTGTGTCGTATCCATTCAGGATGGGAGCAACCATGGCTCTTCACAACTTCCTATCCTTCCTAACACTTAGCATTTGTCTTTTTACTATCCCATCCTATTCCTGATCTGTCATCCACTTACACAAGCTTTTAATGTAGGTTACTCACTGTTTCTTCCTCTTGCCTTGAATATGTCCTCTGAGTGTCAAATTCTCCAAGCTCTCCTTCTTCATTATGTATCTCAGTGGCGGACTTGGAAGCGAGCTAAGCGTTACTGGAAATCTGTTTCAAGTCCCACGTACGATGGTAGGTGTAGTGTTATTTTAATAGAGCGAACCTTCCCCATACAGAAACAAGAGAAGATATGTTTATGTCTGATCTTTTAAGACCAGTTGCATTACTGGTCCTTATGGACTTCAGTAGAACACACTCAATCTCAATTTTCCTAACACCGTGATTATAGTCCATAATTTAATGCAGTCTCATTTATCTTTTTACGTGCAGTTCTATAATCACCTATAGTCGCCCAGTTTTCATTTCTTGCTGATGTTTGTTCGGAAATTAACTCATTCTTTTATTACTGTTGACAGAGAAAAAACATACAGTTGCAGCCTCGGAAATAGAGATCAAAACCGTCTCGCCCCAACTATCATTCCACCATTAAACGACAGTCAGTTCTGTCTGAGTCGCATGGCTGTCATTTCTATACTACATCTTTACCTATTACGTCATCCGGTTGAGTCTGTTTTTAGGAGTGGAGGCGAACGACACCTTCCAGTATATGCCTGATTCATGTTTATATGTTTCAGTCTTTTGGGGTATTTTTTTAAAATTGAAAATTTATTATCATTAGCTTATTTTTAACACTTTCAACCGAGAGACTTTACCAAATCTTTTAATTCGAATGAAATGTACTATAATTAATATACAATGAAATCATTAAGATAGTAACTGCGAGGATTAATGGCATTTATTTGTAGATGAGAAGTGATTTACATCTATTTTACCTATCTGAAAGGGAATGTATATGTAAAGATCGCTATATGATTCAGACATTTATTTCCACAGATATTTTGGAGTAAATCATTTTTATATGTAAAATAATGTTTGAAACGATTCTTTTACGCATACATTCATATAATGTAGCAATATTAATAAAAGACTGTCTTCAAGGAATCACGGCCTTATATTTTGAAAGAGGAAAGCTTTTATCCTCTAGACGCGATTTTATGAAGCAAACTCTTTTCCTTCAAGAATTATAAACTTATCTCTTTGCGTTTCCAGGCGTGTGTAAATTGATTTCGGCGCAAAAATGCTTATCGCAAGATTCTGTTACGCACATCTATTCTGTACTCGTATAATCCTAATGTAACATGTGATCCATGATAATAAATACCAGGATTCTGAATCGAATCTAATGTCAATAACCTTTGTTCTTTGGGAACTTGATGTACAGGGACCATGCTAAAAGATAACAAAATAGAGGGTATCAGAGGTTCCAAGTGCATCAGAAAGTTGATCTGTAAGGTCATTTCATAGACACCAAGTGCAGTATCTGAATTCAAATGTGTCAGTGGCTATTTCCGACATGTAAGCAGGTGGGCAATTCAGATGAGCATAGGATATACACAAGCGAAAAAAAAACAAAAAAAAAAACAGATGACAGAAAGTTATATAAGCCCGAGTGGGAAAAGTCACAGTCTCATATCCTCACAGGAAGATCGACGTTCGAAGAAAGTACACAAAGCCACAGACCCTCGCGTCGACAATAATATCAATATATTTGCTGTTCGTGTCACATGTATTGCTGGTGGAAGTGCACAGTTAAATCGTACATTGCTGAAATATTTTTCAAAATCTAGAAATAAACGTGTTCATAAAAATGAAAATTCCAACTTTTAGAACACGGTAACTACAGGCCTAAAACATCCTTCTATCAAGTCCAAAATGTTAATGTGACACTTTACAAATTGAATACTTGTTACAAAGAGAAAAAGATCAACTCGATGAGTAGAAATGAGACTATTCAGACAAACAAATTACTACAATTATCAAAACTGTTGAATAAAGTGATGTTATTTAAGCCACCAGATAACAGTGATGTAAAAATTCGACGATTCAAAATAACTAGAGGAAAATCAATACCAAAAACAGGAAGAACTAATGGCGATATTACCATAGATAGAGCATGTAAGAAACGAGAAAGTTTTAAGTAAAATGGAAGTGAAAAGGACACTTTTCACGTCATAAAGAGACTAGTTGAAATTTCTTACTGAGTAAAAAGGGCTTAGGGAATGTAACATTCATAGGACACAGGTAAGAGAAGTAGTGCGAAGCATCAAATTCAAACGAGCTTCTTTAAATGGATGGCAGAACAGATACAGGGGTGGGGGACAGTAAGAGGTCAGATATTACTACAGCTTTGAAGAATAAGAAGTTGAGGAGAGCAATGATTCGATTCCCTGCACCATGAAATGAGGATAAAATACGGATATCTTTCCTGGCGTGGTTATAACACATGGCACAGTGGATAAAGGCGTTAGTTAGATCCAGTGAGAGGACCCAAAGTGTGTGAGTTCAATACCCGGTTAAGGCAGTGGAGAACTTTCAGAGGGAAAATTAACAGAAGATAACTGATAACTGACATCCATTAAACATGGCACATGGAACTAGAACAGTCTATTCCAGTGAGCGAAATAGAGGGTACAGTTCGACATTCCAACCACCTGAAGAAGGCCGGAGCGTACAACGGCCGAAACGTTGTAATAAATATGGCGACAAAGATGAGGACAATAATCTGAATAATATAAATAATGTACATAATACTTCATCTCAGAAATATAGACAGATACAAAATTGTACTTGGACAAATTCCTCACATGTGAAGAATGGACCTGAAACAACAGAGATATGGCTCTGCCGACGAATTCTAAAAATATAATGGGCAGAATATATGACCAACGCCAAAGAAGAGAAATGAAAAGAAGATTTAAGTTATAGTACAATCAGAAAGAGACAGTTGAAATTTCTTGAAGACATAATGACGAAATAGTTCCTCAAGAATTTGATACGCACAAGACATAATGAAAGCAAGAAAAGTAGGAAAAACAGCGAGTAACTTGGTTTTGTTTAGATTGACGGTAATGTTTCAAAAGTGTTGTGGATAGCCATAGTCACGCAACATTCTGAAATGACTTGACCCATAAAAGAAATTTCCTCAAATCGTATTTACGAAGGAGTACTGAAAAGTACCAGACACAACTCACTATCTAAAGTCTGACCAGATTTTTTTTAATGTCTTCTTGGTCGGACTAATAACTTTTCAGCACTCCTACATTTTATTATTTTATTATTATTATTACTAGTGTACCCGTGTCGTTAAAACTGACGGCAAGAAGGAATATATTATAAGTAATATGTATTATATTGTAAGTAATTTTCGTTTAATCCAAGTAAAATTTATAATATAAAATAAGTAGTAAATTAGATATAATATTTCGAACAAGGAAAATAAAACATATAGGATGGAGAAAAGTAACGTGATGAAAGTAAAGTGATAGGGATTGATAAAGAATGACATAGAAAGTTAACAATAACATGGATAGAATACAAAAAGGTGACGATATCATTCCTCAGATTTATATATTGGAATGTTTAGTATGATTAACATTGAAGAAAATATGATAACATTTATATTCAACGCATGAAAAACTGAAAAGGTAGCGCTAGCTGCAGAAGGGAAAAACACAAACCGAGAGGTGAGTAGAAAAAATAAAAAAAGGATTTGTTAAATATACTACTCAATATACATCACAAAGATGCACCGGTGCACATCGTCATATGTTAATAGAGGGTTCATTGCTAGTTTCAGGTCTTCCAACATCATAGTACCACGACTAGCTGACCCCGCCATTGTTGATCACGAGACAGCAAACATTATCAACACGGATTTTCATAGTAGCAGAATTGTTAATATATATATATAATAGCTGGCCACTCGTATTTGAGGACACCCGTCTACCAGAGCGGCTAGCCAATCCTTATTGCAGACGCTCTCTCAGGCACATTTGTGTTTTCTTAACACCCACAGAGCCCACCTGTGTTTAATGTTGCAACTATGCTGAGCTGATCTTAGAGTTTCTGGGAGTGAGCGTGTTATCTAGCGTGATCAACAATTTGAACAAGGCCAGCACGCTCAAGCCCACGATGACTTGCGGCTTTGTTCTAGCACAGCTATCGACGACACTCAAGAGTTCCGTCTACCCAATTTCACTCACAAGGCTTGGGTCAACTCGTGCTATTGTTTTCAGGCACTTTCCAAAGGTGCCGCACGCTGGGATCGATCTCGATCCAGTCCGATAACATCAGGAAGTCCCCTTCTTGACAAATCGACCATAGTGAGATTCGAACGTTTGTATATGTATATAAACAAGTCATCCCCCAGAAAATATAGCGTAGATATGAAATTTTAAATTATTTGCCCCAAATAGCACTGAACTAAGTTGATAATAACAGTTGGAAGTTTGGGGCCAAAATATTTGAATGGAGTTTGGAATTGAAAATTGTACAGTGTTAATGATGCGTAAAATCAGTGGCAAGCAAAGAAATCTAGCTATCAACTGAAGCCATGATGTCTGTGAATGGGATGACGACTAAAAATAACTTCGAACACTGGAAACACATCTTATAACCGAGTATGAAACAAAAGTAAGGAAAGAACTCGTTAGAAATACGAAGAATAAACATACAATCACAAACAAGATCCATTTAAAAATCTTCTGATCTAATTCGAAATTGGATCAGAGAAGAACTGAGAAACTTGGATTAGAGAACTGAAAAATTAATGACTATACATAAAGCATTCCACACTAGCTATGGTAGCAAGAGACTTTCTATGAAAGAAAAGAGGACAGAAGAATATTCATCAGCGTTTAAAACTTTCTGCACAAAACTATCAAAGGATTAGCCGGCTACACACGTCAGTGGAAAGAAGCAATAATCATAACAGCCAGAAAATGTAGCAAAACTTAGAAATGGATCAGAAAATACCAAAACTAGAAGTCAAAAAATGGAAGGGAAAAGCAACTCTATTTAGACTTCAAAGGAATTGTAGGCGAACCGAGGTGGGAATGATAATAAAAAAAAAGGACACTTAAAAGAGAAACAGAATCACTAATGACGGGAGCGCAGAACACGTGTGATTGGACGAATATTATCTCAAAGTCAAAAGAGCGCAACAAAATAGCAAGTGCGCGAAGAGATAAAACTTTACCATATAAGGGAATGTAGAACATTAGCTAAGAAGTAGGAAACAGACATGGCTTGGTAGGGGTGCAAGTTCACAGAAAAATGTACTAACAAAATGGATTGGACTATGAAAGCCAATGATATAAGCAAAAACATGAAGCTGTCTGGAAAAAAAATGATATTTTTTAGTCTTGAAATTGGCTGATTTGTTTTTTACAGGTTATTTAACGCCAGAAAATATTTTTAGATTTTAAAAAAAGTTTTAGGTAATAAAGAGTTACTGATAAGTTTCTACTAATTAATCAATAGCTGGGGTGGGGGATAAGAGGCAGATTCACACCTTTCCAAAGATATTTGCACATGTGAATATAACGAACGCGACTGGAATTTTAACTCGGTTCTCCGATTTCTAATTCCGAGATGTTATCCATTACAGCACCTGCACATCCAAGCTTACAGCAACTGGTATTCCCAAGCGGTCACCCATCTTGGTACTGACCAGGCTCGATGTTACTTAACTAATTTTGAAATTGAAAGAGATCTCCATGTAATTGTTAGGAAGTCAGAATTAGTCATCGCATACAAATACAATTTGTTAGAAAGTAGATTTCGATTGAGAATGGAACTGTGAGCGAACAGCTAAATATCAGGAACATTCTAGAGAGCTAAGGGAATTCTGAAATGTGAAGGTAACCGTTTTTAAGCATTAGCGGCGATGCGCTTGCCGGATTGGAAGAATCGGAAATACAAAGAAGAATTAGAATAGTTTAAAAGCATTACAAGAATTGGTAAAAAATATTAAGGAGATCGCAGGATTAGTGAAGAGAATTCCTGTCTTGGATTCCCAACAAAAGATACCAGATATTATTGGTACGACAATTCATAAGAATATGCATAATACTAATTATGATAAATGATGAGATTTTGAAATCGAATATGTGTTTTACTTTGTAATGTGGTTCAATACAAATATGCTTATTACGTATATGCTTTTATACACATAGATTTAAATATATATACTTTTCAAATCCTTACATATCCCATGGGTGAGTTTTTTGAAAGTTCATCTGACTGAGTGAGCATGTCAATACTGTTGAGCGTTCAAACCCAATAATCTGACATTTGCTATATTTTCTCCTTATATATAGCACCATTTTCTCTATCTAATGCAAATATTATTTCGATTTTATCCACACTGATATCGTTTTCTTTCCCTTTTCTTTCAGCTTTTTCGAATTTCCTTGTATAATATAATTTTTTTTTATCGTACTTACATTTCCTTTTTGTTTTACTTTTCTTTAGAACCCACTATCGTTATGTATTCCCCAAAACACATGTCACATTTGAATTTATTCCATTTCTTTACTCATCTTTCTTTTTGTCATTTTCCTTTTTGTTGATTCCATTTATGAATTTCTCAAGAATGATTTCATCTACCCTATCGCCAATATTTCATTGTGCATATTTTATTGATGTTCTTCATATAACCTACCTTTTAACCCACCTCTTTACTTTGTTCCTGTTCCTTTATATTCGTTACTTATTTACATTAGTAATTTCGGTGTATATATCAGTTATAACAAATTTAGTATAGGAGACACAGGATAAGTTGCATTAGGAGTAGTTTCGCACAACAACATGTTACGAAACCAAAATATTAGCCTGAGAACACGAGTTAAGTTCTTAAGTTATTTGTCGTCATCGTATGAATCTCGTGCATGGCGTTACACCTCGTTAGGAAATGTCTAATGTATCAGCTATAGAACCCGTTTCTCAGATTAATGATAAAAAACAATTTTAAGCGAATAAATTCTTTAGATCTTAAAGAAGATAATTCCTCATCAGACTGTTTAGTGGCACTGAAAAATCACAAAGACCTTTATCGAATACCAAAAAAACATACCATGTGGATACTTTCAACATCAGCAACAAAAATGGGTAGCACATGTAACTAGAAGGAAACTACTGATATTATCAAAATGTCTTTTCACAAAAAGTAATATTTATGGAAGGGGAATACAATCAGCCTTAGAAAGAATTATATTATTTAGTAGGATTGAGAAATCTAAAGACTGTTTTATAAAAGAAAATCAACCGAACAATAAATGCCGAATGTTTTCTGTATCTTTCTGATTCGCACATTCCCATCTTTAACCTCCTCTATTCCATTATATCCATTCTCTTTATTATATCAGTAATAATGACACAATCAAGATGTTGACAATTCACACTACTTCAAATCAAAGATTAGGAAGGAAACGCCCATCAATAACAGCAACTCGAGTTGGGAAACTGTTTTCCTGAAAAATTGTTTGAAGAGAGAGATTTTATAAATTTCAACCGGAAGCAGTATTGACTATTCAGTCAATGAATGCTAAATGTTTCTTTCTAGGGAACTGGTTAATATTACCATTACCATTACCAATACAATTCCCTCATGTTTCTTGTTTAGGATTGGGTTTCCGATCTCTTATAAAGTCTACTTCAACTCTATCTTTCTGAACTTTGAAATTTTATTCGTCAATTAAATCTTGACCTCTTCAAGTTTAGAATTAGCAGTCTATCATTTCTGTTATCTTGCCTTTTTTACAGTAATACAACTCCACACTACCTTGCGTGTCTCTTGGGCCTTGTATTGGGCGAACATTAGAAGAAAAAAAAATGACCGTCACCATATTCGCTATTTCAGTTTCCAACTCTTTCTCCCATATTTTAATTCTATTTATATTTTTCTTCCACTCCTTATTTCTTCAGTTCCACTCTTTTCCTCCTGTCTTCACGCAATTTCTCTTTCTCGCCCTTTCGTACTTATATTCATCTCTTCATCAAATACAGATCTTTTTCTCTCTATCATCCCTTTCGTATTATTTTTCTGAGATGCTGTAGGCTCAAGAAGCCATTCGTGTAAGTTAGTTTCTTAGGAGAAGTCCTCATGAATTTGCACTGTTTTTCATTGTCCTAAATTCTCTAGTTTTCCTCCATTGTATGAGTTTGCCAATCCTCCACAAAGTAAAACGATCGTTTTTATTTATTTATTTTATTTTGTATTCCTCCTTTCTCGGTCCTCTTCTGCTAGCCATATGTCTCATCTTTAGTTCTTTTATTTATCCCTTCCTTCATTTTCCTCTGAGTTTGTCCTTCTTTGTTCCACTTTATCTGTTTATTCCTTTTCTATCCTTTCTGTTGTCTTTAGCTTCAAATGAATTAAATCTCTGTACTCACCCCTTCCATCATCATTGTGTTCTCTTTCCTCCCGTCTCATGCTATTAAATTTCAGACTCTTTCCCTTTCCTCGACCTCAAAGAAAAATTGTATAGAAATTCTACGTCTTCGCTATCATCTTTCACACTATATAAAGCAATGTTATGGCACATAAATTTCATATAATAGTAATTCAGTGACAAATACGATTTTTAAAGTAGATTATGATTGCGTGCAATAATAATATATATATATATATATATATATATATATTTATATCTATCTATATATATATACGAGGTAGTGAAAGTTCTCTGTATAACCATGCCGCCCTCCTAAAAGTTTTCTATGTTTCTGTTTAGTCATTTAGCCACATTTTATGAAGCTAGTAGGCCGGACAACTTTTCAGTACTTATATATATATATATATATTTATATTATATATATATATATATATATATATATATATATAGATAGATAGATAGATAGATAGATAGATATGTTTGTGTGTGTATGTAAAGAAATTGGGTAGATGTTTTATTAATCCGACATATTTTACTTCAACGTTATTTTCAATGGATACCCCTACTTGAGTAGACGCCCCGTTTATTTATTAAACGATATATTTATTTTTTCATCTACCGGCCTGAATATTCGAGAAATCTTATTAGAAAAAATATGCGCTCTCCGGCAGGATTCTAACCTGTGTTCCTCTTCTAAAGGAAACCGTCATTAGATCTAGTGGGCTTTAACCTCTCGTTTACAGAGTTCGCCGATGACAAAGAAAAGCTGAATAGTGTCCTTTAAACACAATTTTTTTCTCTGACACTTGAAATAGACATATCTACTCAGTATCCTAACGTAAACAAAGCAAAAGAAAGGGGTGGATTTTAATTTATTAAGCCGACAGATTTTTATTACTTATATCTTATTTTTTAGTGGATACTCGTATTTAAGTAAACGCTCCGTTTATCTATAAAAGAGTATATTTATTTATTTTGATTTCTCGAATATTCAGGGCTGTAGACAAAAACAAAAATGAATATACTGTTTAATAAATAAACGGAGGACTACTCAAATACGATTATCCACTAAAAATAACGTTTAATAATAACAATATATATATATATATATATATATATATATATATAGATATAGATAGATAGATAGATAGATAGATAGATAGATATAGATATAGATATATATATTAAAATAAAAAGAGAAAGAACAGTAAGATTTATAATCTAACGTTCTTATTAATTATTTTTATTTTCAAAATTATACATCTATATATATATATATATATATATATATATATATATATATATATATATATATATATATATATATATATATATATATATATATATATATATATATATATATATATATATATTAAAAAAAAACAGAAAGAACAGTAAAATTTATAATCCAACGTTCTTATTAATTATTTTTATTTTTAAAATCAGTATTCAATACAATTCTGCAGAGCATAAATATTATAAAGTTACTAATTTAAAAATATGGTTCCATCGCTACACGGGAATTACCGTGTTTCAAAAACAGAAACTAAAAACTTAAAGTTTAATTATAGAATGAAATTTCTAGAACTGTTTCATTTACAAGCGAATTTTGGAATAACTTATTTTGAAATTTACTGAGTAAATATAACCACATGCATTCTTAATATTATTTTTTAAGGATACAGGGAAATTCAATCATTTTGACAAGGGGTGGCAGGGTATTCAATTTCCCTGACAACTATTCTATGAAAATATGAGTTACTTTCGAAATGACGTTTTCGCGATCTTCAGACAAACAGTTTGTCTGAAGATCGCGAAGGCGTGAAACCCGGGTTTACAAACTACTATCCATGCAATTGCACACACCCACACACAGCCCCCATATATATATATGTGTGTGTGTATATATATATATATATATATATGTGTGTGTGTGTGTGTGTGTGTATATAACTCTTCGACATGTCAAATGAATTCGTGTGAATACTTCTGTACCTAGTAAATATACTTTTGTACTCAGTAAAATGACTCACAACAACACAAGGCTACAGAATTCAGTTTTTCTTTATACTTGATACAGATACTGAATATTTTTAAACCAATAAATCTGGGATAAAATGAAGTTTAAATTCCTCTTGCAATAGACAGTCGTGGTCGAAACTCTAAGAGGATATGGAGGTCCTATTTTGGAAATGTTAACAGAGAATAATGTGTAATAACTTGGGAAGATAGCCTCAGGTGTAGCTTGTTTACATATATGTCTAATTCTGAGTTCGTTTGAACGATATGATTCCCTTGGGGCTGTTGTTCAACTAGTGACTAAAAGCTACTAGACATTCGACCGTGTTTGTCTACCATACATCATTGTAGACATATACACATATCCAAGCTTTTAAAATAATAAAAAGCATTGCAAATCCGGTGTTTATGTACACAAGAGACAATCCAGGGTGTGATTTTTTAAAAAAACTTTAGCTTAATTTGAAAAATATAAAATAACCATGGAGATCAAACTCATTAAACAATATCAAGCAAACTATCTCGGTAATTATTAACCGACATCTCCAATGTCTGCTTGTGGAGCATAAACTTAAATGTGATGTGTTTTACATAATTAAATTTAAAATACGTGAAATCCACAAATCTGTGTTGCTTCTTATATTCTTGAGAAAAATGAGTTAAGAATTGTTACAAAAAGGCGAGAATACTGAGCAGGTAAACTGCATGAAAAATGTATTTAGAATTAGCTTGAGCCTACCATAATGTGCATGCTTCAGCATATTACCTAACATGCCTGAGTATTGTTCTTTATCTAAATCAGCCACGCAGTATTACAAAGAATAATCGATACATCATTAAAAATAGGTAGTAAAAAGATTCAGATTATAGTCTCTTTGTTTTTCATCAAACGACCTTTCTTTTAATATCTGAGTCGATTTTCTTTTTGGCACACTTTTAATAACAGGTTTCAAGTGTCAGATTTCAAGACATATGTAATCCGGATTTTCAGAAGAGCGTCGTCATTTTTACTTTTTTGAAAGTCTTCTTCTTCTTCTTCTTCTCTTTTTTTCTTTTCTTCTTTTTTAAAGTATAAAAGATTTTATGCAAGTCATACAAGGAAAAATTCAAGATATATTTAGTATACGATGAGAAATTCAGATTACAATATGTCATTTTCTTTGAAAGATTACAATATATTATCTGGTCGTCTGAAATGTGATTATGTAATTTCATGATTGTAAATAATATATATATATATATATATATATATATATATATCGTAAATAAATATATATTATTGTATATATATATATATATATATATATATATATATATATAAATATATATATATATATATATATATATATATATATATTATTTATGTATATATATATATATATATATACATATATATATATATATATATATATATATATATATATATATATATATATATATATATATATATATTTACGTTCAAATGTGGATGGTCCTAAATGAAACCTTCACCACTATAATCAATTCTCATGTGCTGTTGTTGGGCTGTCGGTTTCTAGGAACTGATCTGCTTGACCCTCATACGTCAATTTGACGGGAGAGTCGAGTATGAGTATCTCTCTCTCTCTCTATATATATATATATATATATATATATATATATATATATATATATATATATATATATATATACTCCAACAATTCGGTATACCTAAGGTTTAGATTAATTTTCATAGATTAAAAGTCTTTCTTGAAGCTTTCATTTTACATTTTCTCATTTCAGAAAGCAAACTACTGTAGTGTATTTCATGTAGAAATTAGTATAATTGTTATTCAATTGATTTTTTGAGAAAAAAACGTCGAAAATGTCATTTTGACATATTTTTAAATAAAAGTTAATTCTTTGTTTTAAAAAGTATGCAATAATAAAATACATTTCTGGAACGTTACTTGCGGAAAAGCAGCAAATTCAATGTTAAATATTTTCTGAAACAAATATTACTTACTTGTAGCATAAAGTGTTGTATACAAGCATGTCTTAACCGCGTGGTCTTGTTATTCCCTCGTCTCCATCTATGGCTTAATATGTTGACAGGTTAAGTATGACAGACCAGAATTGACATAAATTTACGATTTCTAGGTAAAACGATTTGTTTTTATTTTTAAGTACCAGGTAATTTTTTTAAATTAGCATAATATTCTAAGCAATTATTTAATATTTTATTGCATTTTTAGGTCGTCAACTTTATGTTTGAAGATGCTTTCTGAAAATATAAAATTTAAATACTATAACATTTTCTTAAATTAAAAACATTTCATAAATAATTAACTTACCTCTATAATGTTTTTTTTTAAATTATCTCAGTTACTAAAATGTAATGACTGAGATAATATGACATTTTAATTTAATAACTGAGATAATATAATAATTATATTAATTATAATATTATCTCAGTTATTAACTTTTTAATTCAATAACTGAGGTAATATAATAATAAGAGATAGAGGTAACTCAATAATTTGAAATTGTATGGTATTTATTATTAATTTACATTTTTAATTTTATTCTTTATTATTAATTATTATATCCTAATGGTTATGAAATGTTAATGTTATTTTATTTATTAAATGTTTAAAGTACATATATTTTATTATTATTTAGATAATTGTACACTTATTTTATTTAAACATAATCCAATATCTCAAACAATATTTTATTAAAAAATTGCAACTATGCATAACAGTTATAAGGCTTTTCAGAAAGTTTTGTGGTCCTGAAATGGGCCGTTTTTCTCTTCAGTTGCCTCTTCAATCGTCTTCGGAAGTGAAATAGAACAATTGTCCGCAGCCGAAAAAGTTTATATGAACGGAAGTTTCCGTAAGGGGGACAACACTTGAAACACGTGACCTTTTAAAGATAATGTCACGTATGAAACACCATATTTAAAAAAGAAAATTTAGACACATAAAATTTTTTTTAATTATTTAAAATTTTTTTGGTGTGATGAGCTGTATTAAGCTTTTCAATTTTCACTTAGTAAGTATAGTC